TAATCGTTTGGCGCCGTCGCTCTGGGCCCGGATCGCCCGACACTGCCTCTGGTATCGATAATGATGTTCTCTTTGTCACCGGATCACCATGGTGATCGGTCTTTAATCTTATTATTTTAAATAGTTATCACGTTTGTTGAGTGTCAGGGTTCTATCACCATGACACCTCATTTTACAGATACATAAAACAGCCACTAATATAATAAATATTTTAGTTGTAAAAATTATACAGAAAGAATACATAACATTTAATACTTTTGCTAACTTACACACAAATAAACAAATAAAACACCACTAATTGGCTGTCATGTGTGGCCACACATTCACCTAAACCCCCGGTGCAAACGGACACTACATTCCCTGTTGTGATTGTGCGAAGTGGTGAAACTCCCAAACCAGGAGCGCGTTCTGCACGCGTACGCGTTGGCCCACAAGGAGAACAGTCATTGGGATGTTTGCAAAGTGAGCACCGGGTCCCTCAACACCGTTTAACCCGTCCCTTAATTCACGCAAATGCCTAATCGTTTGGCGCCGTCGGTCTGGGCCCGGATCGCCCGACACAGCCTCTGGTATAAAAACAGTGCCATATGTTTGCAATAACATGGCCTGAATGTTCAGTGGGATAAACGTATGGGTGGGCAGTGCCGGTGCGTTTACTATGAGTGCCGCTTGTTGTGCAATGAATAACTCAAATGGATCGGCACCGACCGGGCCAACTGGCATTGGGTTTATTACCGGATTTAACACTGGGTTTATCACGGGGTTTGCAAACGGATTTAAAACCGGGTTTGCAAACGGATTTAGAACCGGGTTTGGCACCGGATTTAGCACCGGGTCTGCCAACGGGTCTAGCACTGGGTCAGGCAACTGCTGCTGTTGTTGTTGACCATGATGCTGCTCCTCGACAACAGGTTGATCTTCATATACAAACGCACCCAAGTCTGGGTCAAGTTGTGGTTGCGGTGTAGGCGGACGCTGAGGACGGGGTATAGGCAAGCGTTGCGGTTGTGGTCCGGGTGGCCGCTGACGAGGGGGTCCCGGCGGACGTTGACGTGGGGCTCCTGGCGGACGATGCGGTGGGGGTGAAGGGACGTGAGGGCGCAATTGTGGTGGCGCAGGCGGGTTGGGTTGCTGTATATTTTGGACATTTGGGGGCAACGGAGGCAACATTCTGAGGGGTGCGTTGTACAGAGCAAGTGGGCCCGGTTGGCCCTCTAAAGCGTTCACCTGTCGAACCATTATCACCAGACACTGGACCCACCGCTCATACATTACATCGTCGAGCGAACCCACTTCTACCGCCTGCTGCCGGCGCCGCAAATACTGGCCGTAATGATTGATGTTTGTCCTATAATCGTTGAGTTGATCATGGTCAGCTATGTTTCGCCAGGTGTTGTGTTGATTGTCATATCCGACGGGCACACGTTGACCGGCGCCGGACGCAGCCCTGGCCAGGTCTCGACCGGTACACATTCTGAGCACCGGTTCCTCTTCCATGTCTGGCTCCTGGAGGGCGTCCCGGAAAGCGTCCAGAGCCTGGCGCCGGGCCAGCATGTGATCGTCCAACGTGGCCAACCGCGCGTCACGCTGCTCCTGGTTTAAGCCGGCTCTAGCTCGATTGTAATCCCGCCAACCCCTGACACTGACGCCCATGTGGTTTCGGTAAATCGCCAGCAGTGGTTCGGTATTGCCGGGCACTCTGGCGGCCACTACCGGCGCCCAACAGTAGAAGACGGGACTATTCATCCACACTGATGTCATAGGTCACGTGATAAGTTACATAACAGTGCATTACATTACACTTCATAACATAACACAACATAGCCTTGATCTTGAACTGCTTGTGTAAGCATGCACTATATAATGTGTATAATAATCATAATATTAAAATCCTTTTGATATGAACCGCTTTTTAATTAAAAAACATTCAAACGGTTCGCTGAAAATAATTACATCTCTCTCTCAAAGATTGTATATTTACTAATGAATGCCTAAGCGATGAGCACCAGAGCACCGGCACCGACAGTATAACCACCAGTATATCGACGGTTCGTTTACTACTGGAGAAAAAGGACATAAAACTTAATTACGTTTAGATTTCCAAGCAAGTGCTTTATATTTATTTCATTTACCGGTGCCTTAAGTGTCGGTAACCAAAAAGGCTGTGCCCTCCCCTTCCTGTGACTAAACATTTATTAATCTGATCCCTGACTTCAATCTAATTCTTCATTAACACTTGTATTTTATATATAATGGTATATAATATGTGTGTATCTGTTAATGTAATAAATTGTAATAGATTTTTTTGACAAAATTACAATAATATAAACATTAAACAGTATAATGGTGATTTATAACAAATGCTATAATATTAGATACAATGAATTAAAGTAGAACTCTATATAAATTTTTGCGTTTAATCTTTGCCGAAATATTTTTAGACTATTAATAGGTGAGTTATAAGTATACATTAAATAGATGAGACCTAAATTTATAAAATAGATTAATAACAATGCCGACTATAATTTTAATCAAAAATATTTATAAAGTACATCAATTAAACTTACCTTAATGCCATATGTATAAAACTGATAGACTTCGTCCGACAGTATAATTACATCATGTTTTTCGCACAATTGTCCGATAAATAACAGCTCCTCTTCAGTGAAGGTCTATAATAATTAAATTTTAAATTACATATAAAATAAATTATCTCACGAAAACAAATGATTGATACCAAACACCGGCTCCGGACTTAATATTGTTAGCCCTTACAATGCATTTGCACTGTAAGGGCGGACTATGTTGGGTCTGGGATTTTTGCTATAAATATAGCGGGATGAGAGCCATTCTCACCACTCAGCAAAATGGCATTTCCCGCATGTGTTGTCTGCGATAAAACGGGCGAAATACGATTGCCCAACTGCCCGCATCTCTTTTGTTTAAACTGCTTTAAAAAAGAAGTTTCTCGTGCGGTCGACCTCTACGGGGGTGGTGCCGCCGTAAACTTCGGCTACGAGCCCGAAGCACCCAACTTTGTGAGATGTGCTGGTAAGTTTTGAGTTATTTAAATAATTTTTGTATATTTATTCTTTTTTATTAATTTTTAAATAGCGTGCCGGGCCAATACCGGCATATCTTTGGCGCCGTTACCCGATGACCGCCAAGTAAAATTTGCCCGCAAATATCAACGCGCCGAAGAAGGTGTTCCCCGGCGCCGCCGCAGCGGTCGCAGCCAACAACTACAACAACCAGGTAAGTTTTGCGTATATGGGGCTATTGAATGCTTTTTACAGAATCAAATTATTTTAAAACATAAATTTTTAATATTAATTATAATTAATATAGAACCCGCACCACTCCCGGAGGCTCGGGTTGTGCTCCGCCGGGTGGACGAGGACAGTGAATGGGAGAACCATTACTTGATGTCACTGGCCAACGGCTACTATGGCGGTAATACCGCTCCCGGTGCCGTCGGTGGAGCGGACCCTGCGGACCCAACGCAACCAGGTTGCAATACTTGGTACTGTGACCTGGGTAACAGCACCGGTAGTTCCAGTGCTGCCGGTTCCAGCACCGGTGCATCTAGTGCGGCCGGTTCCAGTGATGGAGACCGACCAGTCGGTGACGGATCCATGTATGACACGCAACCCATGTATGGCAATAGCGGTGCTGGCGGAGTCGGTTATGGTAACGATGGAGGCTCTGGTGGCGAAGGCTATGGCGGCTCAGGCGGCGGCGATGATTACGGAGATGACCAAGGTGCCGCTGGTGGTGGCAACACTGGTGGCAGTCATACGGCAAGCGGCGGTACTGGCGGTGGCAATGACGGCGGTGTCAACTTGCCGCGTGTAAACTTTTACAACACCATGTTTGACGACGGCTATGACGCTTGCAGCGAGACTAGCACCCTCGATGGTGGTAATCTTGATGAGTCATGGGATGTGGACCCGCCTGTCACCATTGATTTCCCTAAAGAAGATGACGATGAGATAATCTGCCTAGAGTAGATTAACCATGACTATAATTGGTGGTGGCGGCGGACACGGTGGTGGCTATCATTTAATCATGGTATTTTTAAGTTTATTTTTACATTAATAATAATTTTTACCATTATTTTATTAATATTTTTTAACCATAATAATTTTTAATTGTAATCATTTATTTAAAAACATATATTTAAATAAAAATCAATAAAATATTTTTTAAACATTAATTGTTTACATTTATTTAATTAAAATTTTTAATTGTAAATTATAAAATAAAAATAATTATAATAATGATAATGTCTTCGACAGTGATTGTGGTGATAGTGATCATCTCCTCAGTGGTCATCACCAGTACATCGGCGGCCATAATATGCAAGAACTCAACGCTCGACTCAATCGCTTACGTGAGTGACTCCGACATGTATTTGATGACAAGCGGTGGTCATTATTGGTATATCAAAGGCAGTCAATTCCCGCCGCATAACTCGGCGGTCAAACAACTGTCCGAGCTGTTTAAAACTGGACAGTTGCCCGTCGGTAACGCAAACACAACTCATTGGTCGATTGCAAGAGACGCACAGTTATGAGGAAGAGGTCCGCGAGCGCCAGCTTTGAGCCCAAACACACCCGACGGCCGATACCGACGGCGCAAAGCCCGGCATTTTGGCCCGGAATGAGCCATCTCTGGTCACAAACCTTTTTGGATTAAACACTTCAGGGTTTGGCCACTGGTTTGGGTCCATATGTATGGCCCATAAGTTACTGATAACCAAAGTATTCTTTTCAATGCGATATTTATCTACAGAATTTAATTTATGTTAATTTTACATTTTTGTGTATTATAGTTGTATTATACGGCATACCAATAGTGGTGTCAGTCATGGCTCTATGGGTGACAGCAATGGGCGCTACGCCTCTGTATCGCATGGTTTCGGCGATAAAGCGTTTACAAAATGACAATTATTTTTGTCATCACTTGTGGCCACTCTATCGCCGATCACAGACTCGATCTCATCCCTCANCGTTTACAAAATGACAATTATTTTTGTCATCACTTGTGGCCACTCTATCGCCGATCACAGACTCGATCTCATCCCTCATCTGAATCTGCATTTCAGTGTTGTTTGCCATCAATAATACAATCCATTGCAGAGTATACTGTGTTGTGTCGGTTCCCGCTATACAATGCAAATAAGTTAAACTTAATTATTGCAATTACAGTTCAATATTGCTATAAGAAACCATTTTATTTATACTACATATAAATATAGAATATTTATATACAAAGAATTAATTTAATAATTGTTTACAAACCTGCAAACAAATTCTTAATAACGAGTGAAAGGTTGTTATCATTAAAAGCCTCCGCGTTATGCCTGCCATCCCTGCCATCCCTGACATCCGTGTCATCTCTGGCCTCACTTTCAATGGCCTTTTCTTTAGCCTCAATGAGAGCGTCGCAGAAGTCATTGACGACTCCCGAGGAATAGGTCTTCAGGTGAGCCATATATTGTTGTTTACAACGTTTGTTCACATTTCTGGCCGTTTCAAACACTTTGCGCTCATAATTGCCGTATTTTGGGATCAGTCTTAAGAGTGGTATGCGATCGATGGCCGCCAATAGACTCGTCCGGCTTTGCATGAACTCAAGACTCTCGCCATAAAATGCAAGCTCTTTGTCGTCTAATTGGTATCTATTATATTTTTGTAATAGAAAATAAAATTGAATTATTAATTATATATTAGATTTAACAATTACAATCACGGTACATGGAGTTAAAACTTTTATAGTCTGAATTGAATTTATTAATTAATTTAACTTGCTATTTTTAGAATTTGTTTAAGTTTTGTTAAGTTTAAGTTCATAACATTAATGTTTAATTGTCTGAAAGTGAGTACCGCTTCCCGAAGGCAGTGGACGCGAGTATAGCCATAACCGAGTGATAGAGATAGCACTTGGGATCAAAGGGTGCGCCCAATTAGTGTGTCTTTTTCATGATGTGTGCGCTCGAGTCGACCACATCTGCCACTAATTCGTGTAGTTTTTCACTTACAGCCACTTTTCTTAATGTGTTTAATATAGAAAAATAATAAAATTAGAAACATTATAAGCAATCCTATAACCAACATTATTCATATATACTGTACACTCATATTAATGTCATTGCATACCTGACCGCCGAGTGTGAGACCCGTTTAAGACCGGCCTAAACGGAGCCGTAGTCTGTCTGATATATGTCCTGATGTTTGCCGATTTGTGCCAAAGCGTAACCACTTCTCACTCTTCCCATCAAAGCGTTGCCTTTCGCAGTGAACGCCGTTTTGACTAAATTATAATCACTTATGTATACCAATGGTGTCTTTGTTTGTGTTTTGTTTTGCACTGAATGCGATGGTTAACGCCATCTATATATTTGACTCTAAAACTTACTGTCAAAAAGTTTTGTAAACAAAACTTTTTTGACAACCAGTTAAGTTTTGTTGTTGTTTTGCATTCAATTTACACGTTATTTGTGTTCAAACCATAACAAAGACTGAGAGACAACACGACAAAACATTGATTGCAATCATATGATTTTGTTTACAATTATTTAATTATTATTTGTTATTTAACAGTTGGACTCAATCACATTGACTTTGGAGAAACCGCAGGACATGGCCGCAGACCAGAGGACGTGGACGGCCAAAGTGAGTGCCGGTGAACGACAATACGTGGCACAAGTCGATGTGAACAACCCGTCCGGCGTTTACCTCAAGAAATTGTCGCTCAAACTGCAATCGCCTCGACGTACGAGTACTGCCGACGTGACGCTTGACCGACAACAGGGCGGCGATGTCTCCAAAATGGAGGTCGACCTGAAGGTACCCGAAGTGATCGACGTTAACACCAAATACAATGTGTAGAAAGTGGGCAATCAGTCCAACGTAGACGTGTTGGTGACCTACAAGTGCGGACATTCGGATCGCGTGGAAACGTTGCGGTGGACGAGAACAAGAAAGACAAAAAGGCCAAACAGATGACGATATCGCTGTTCGGCGAACTCCAGTCCACACAATACCCGTCCTATAACTCAAAGGTGTCCTACTATTGGGTTTATAAGCCGTACCAAAACATGAAGACCGACGTCAGTGTGGAGTGGGGTCCGGAGCTGAAGGACAAGATCCGTGTGAACGCTGTGTCTAAAATGGACATCATTGAGTTGAGGCCACTGCAGATGGTTCAGGAGCACCAATACGTGGTGGAGATCACACCACTCGACATCAATTACGATCTCAAGATCAATACGAATATAGCGATGATTAAGTCTCGGCCGCGACTGCTTAACTTCAAACTCGTCGGTAAGGACGTGACCGGAAGACCCAATCGGGAAATCCGGGGCGATCTCAAGTACGAGTCCCTCGACGGCCCCCCACCTACAGATACTGAACGCTTCACTCGCCTATCCGGGCAACGAAGTGACCTACTATTCCGACATTAAACAGGTGAAGGATCTGTCCTATTCTGGCAAGATCATCTACTCGCCATCCAAAGGCAAACTCATCACCATTGAGCACAAGGANCCCACCAACAGATACTGAACGCTTCACTCGCCTATCCGGGCAACGAAGTGACCTACTATTCCGACATTAAACAGGTGAAGGATCTGTCCTATTCTGGCAAGATCATCTACTCGCCATCCAAAGGCAAACTCATCACCATTGAGCACAAGGAAAGGTAGGTTACGGCCGGTTTGGCCGCCTATAAGCCAACACTAGTGATGGATAACAGGGATTGATATATTGTTTTCTAATTTGCATTCAGTATTACAAACCCAACACAAGCCATTTTCGTGAAATCCGAGGCCAAGATCCCGTACTCGTGGAAAGCGGACATCAAAGCGGTGACACTGAAGTCTGGCTGGTCAAAGCCCGATGTCTTCAAATACCGGTGCGTTTTGCTCGTCAACGACAAACAGATGAATCACGTAAACGTCCAGTACAATAAGGCTACGGGTGCTCTCCAGGCTCAGGCCACGTACGAGTGCTGGACCGGGCGCTGGACTTGAAGGTAGACAACGTGATAAACCCGAAATCAGCCAATTATGGTTTCCGTTTGGGTCAGAAGTCATACAAATTCAGCGTTAATCGAGTGCCTTAAGAGTCCATTTTTCAAACTCGTCTAAGCAGAGAATTCCCAATGGACAGAGGTATTGATTTGCAACACTAGCGAACAACTCGTCTCAACATTTCATTAACCAATTGTATTAATAATATAATTAATTTGTAGTTTAATGTGCGAGTATCGCGTAAAAAGAAGTCGAGCATAAATATTCTTCGGGCCAATGGCGGGGCACTCAACGCGTGGATCGATCCGTACGGCTTGAAAGAGAAACGTGCTCAGTTGGATTTTTAATAACCCAAGTAGAATTTGGACCACACCGGCAACATTGTCTACAATAAAGTGGACTGCAAATACACGTGGTACTCAAAGACCGGCACAACAATGACATCAGTTATGATGTGTTTAACCACACGTGGAAGACGTGCTGTCCATACATACACTTTGAGAACAGCTTTCATTATAGCAAAAAAAAAGTGCATTCACATGTTTAAAAAATTTTAAATAAATAAAATACACGTTTAATTTAAAAATATTTTTTATTTAATTATTGATTAATACAGTTTTATTAATAATATTTAATTAATATTATAATAAAATTTAATGATGTAAAAGTCTTGAAATATTGATCGCATACTCAATGCTCTACCATGACCAGTGCAGTGCAGTGATGTGCTAGTGCAGTGTATTGTGTATGGATTACCATAACAAATCATCTAAAGGTAAAGTAAAAAGTTATTAATATTTTAAATATTATATTTTATATAAGATTGCAACATACCTGGGTAATTATTGCATCACCATGATTATAGTTGAATATGAATTTATATTGGTGTGGCGTAGATTATAACGCCGTTTTGGGCACTACTCCATTATATATTTTAATACAAGTCCAATGTGTGCTCATCGGACAGGGCAGGGCACAACTGCTGCATTATATATACAAGTCCAATGTGTGTGCATCGGACAGGGCAGTGCACGAATCTGCATATATTTTAATACAAGTCCAAAGTGTGCTCATTAGACTATTGTACATGGACGTCACTTCCATCTTCTAGAGTGTGCTCTCTAGGTTTATATACATAAGGGGGCACTAATCCCTCACTCCAGCCGACGTTACCGGAGTTTACAGGGCACGACTCCTGCTTTACATATACTAATGTGTGCTCATTAGTATCCATATGGAAAAGTTAATTTATTTTGTACATATCGTTTATCAGAAGTTACCCTAAATCTTTTATCAAAATATCTTGTTTTAATTTGATTATGTCTGTTTAAATCAAACTGTCTCTGTTTAATATATACAGGGTCAGTTTGGGGATCGCAATTGGCTAATTCAATAAGCTTATTAAAATCAATACTTTGTTTAGCAAGAAAATTCATTTGAATTCCTTTACATTTTAATTCAGATTTAATTCCATCATTTGTTTGTACACTGTATCCATAATTTTTTGGACCTAATGATGCAAATTCTATACATTTAGCATTAGTACCATAATTTTTTAATACTTCATCAGTTAAGTCGCCTAAATAATCACCACATTCAATCTGTGGGTCAGATATATTTTTATAATATAAAACTGAATCAGTATCATGATATAATAAACTATATGGTCTTATTTTTTCAATTTTATCCATTAATTCTTAAAGTTTAATACGGGCATAAGCGGTTACAAAGCTTGCAACTGTTAGATTATATTTCATTGCTTTTGCCATATCATCATTTTTATATTGCCAGGTCAATATCATAGTGTCATCGGTAACCATATATTCACCACTAATCTCTTTATCTTCATCTAATACTATATCAAAATAATCACTAATTGATTTAATTATTTCAGTTTGAGTTTGATTAGGTCTTTGCGCAAACTTTCCCCAAAATGAATTTAACATAATTTTAGCGATAAATCTTAAAGTCTCATTTTTTACAATTTTATCATATTCTAATTCAATATTTTCTTTATTTTTATAATTCTCTATATATTGTATTTTATCTATTTCACTTAAACACCAATTAGGCCAGCCAGAGGCTTGCTGTTTAATTTTTAACCACATATCAATATACTTTATGAATTTATTTTCATTAATATCGCATTTGAAATTCAGTACTTCATATATTTCTTTAATTAAATACCCTTGTTTAATTGCTAATTTTAATTCTTCACTGACCCATGTACCTATAAATGATCTATCTCCACAATTACATATTTTTGAACAATTTTTAGCACATTTAACACATAGTGGAAATATTAACTTTTTTCTTATTAAAACGGGCAATACAGGTAAGTATAACCCTTTAGGTGCAAGGACTTTACATTTAATAATACCAAAATAACTTTTTAATGAATAATCAAATCTATTATTAATAACTTGGGGGTGACCTACAGGGTATGGATTATATTTTAATACATAGGGATATAAACTACAAAAATCTAAATATTTAATCTCCTCATCTTGATTAATTGATTTATAAAATTGTAAATTATTTGTTCTACCCCCAAAAAATGCTTCTCTTATATTAAGTGGACCAATATGTTTTAATGTTTTATAATATTTAAATCTATTATTATAAAATTGTTTTAAATTTAAATTCTCATGAATACATTTATTGAATTGACATTCCCATATACTGATTACTTTATAATTTTTTCTTAAAAAATCTAATTTATCCATAACTTGTTTGTGTCGTTCATTTAAACTATAAGATACTCCTCTGTTTACCATATACTTATCATTTCTATCAATATCATTTTGACACAAACAACCATGCCAATAACAACCTAAATATTCATATATAATTTTGTTTGTTTCATCATATCCGTCAACCCAATACTTTCCTATTCTATATTCTCTATTAAATTTAATTTCGTCAGTTTGCTCAATCCAATCTAACCAACAGTTACTGGAAATGGAAAATATTTTTGATTTTTTGTAACCTTCAACAGGAGTATTGGCCAGTTCATTTTTATTTAAAAATAAAGCAGTAAATGTTTCCATGGCGATAGATGCAAGAGTAAATGATCTAGTTATCGGGTCTAAACTTGTAATAGTTTTAAATGATTCTCTAAATTTTAGTACACACCTCAATAAAATATCTACATCATTAAGACAATAACTAATTAATTCATCTTTAAAACACCAATCATTCTTTGTAATTTGGGTTAAATGCCATTGCTCTAATTTAGACTTTTTATCAGATGGCATATATTCAACCCCAAAATATTTTAAATCTGGAATTTTACCAATGTAATTATAATTTTCAGATTTATTAAACAAATGGGGAAAATCTCCCTTTTTAATTGAAATATCTAAACCTAATGCTTTAGGTAATTTTTCTAATGATTGCAAAAAGAAGTTCAAAGAATCCAACATTTTAACATTACCACATCTAATTAATAAAATTTTACGCCCCCTTAACACTACATCTACTTTATCATAATATCTATTCCATAATTCTCTCAACACAAATTGCGCATCATAGCCTCGGGCATTATGAGCAAATGCATATATTAAAGACTTATTTTTCTCAGCCAGTATTGCTAAATCTCCAAATAAATAGTCTACAAATAATTTAATACAATCAGACCCAAAATATATATTGGTTGCAGATTTACAGACAGTGCATACATCAATATCAATACATTTATCACATTTCACTTTACATATTAATAGATTGGGAATGTGTTCCAGATTCTCTTGTGTACATTCAATATCATAAGAAACTATAAATTTGTTAATTTTGTCTTCATCACTTAAATCACTTAATAACTTAGGTTTTATATAACAGTAATGTGGTTGTTTAGTATAACTATCACCGCATTTTTTACATTTATATTTGCCGCAAAAATGTTTATTATTAGATTTATAATTCAAATCACACGAATTGCATCTTTTTAGATTTTTACATAATTTATTTTTGATATGATTATTTAAACAGTCATTACTTTTAAATGACCTATTACATCCTGTACATATAATATTTTCGTTATTTATGGAATTACATACCATATAACAATCAATACATTTATACGGACACTTATGTCTATTAAATTCATTATATGAAACATGACATAATTCGCAAAAATAACCTTTGCCGTAATAACCTTTTATGTTTATAATTGCATTATAATGATTATTTATATATTGTATATATAATTTATTTTCATTTTCAGAACCTTTAAATAGAATATTATATTTATTCTGAGAATCAATCACATATATTTGATAATTAATCAATTTTGTTTGAATGATTTTCCAATCATCTAATCCTATCGGTTTATTTAAAGATGGTGTGGATATCGATTTGCAGCGTTTAGAAAATATTGTACTAATTACTGATTTGTACAAATTTTTCGCTGCACTTCGAAGTAGCCATAATTTAAAATTTGCCATGAATTACTTGACATGCAACAAAATCTTTAAAGTATTACTATATGTATACTCAGAAGAAGTCGCAACACATGATTTACCGAAATATGAACACCTTATTTATCAAAATATGCAATACCATTACCATGATTTATGGTATATTGCTGCGAAAAAAATTAATAAACAAAATGAAAAATATAAACTCCCGTCAAAGCGATTAGCTTTGAATAAACGGATGTTTGCCTCATTTCAGCCCGAATTTGATTCCGATAATACGCTTACATATGAAGATGGCGGATGGAAAAATTTTGCGGACGAAATAATGGACACCGACTAACCAAACATACTCTCATATTTTATAATTGGCTTATTATAAGTTATATTAAAACTTTTCACTAATTCATGTATTTCAATTAACTTATGAATTATTAACATATTAAGAATAAAAAATACAAGCAGTAACGAAGCAATTGTAATAAATAGCCAATTTACTTTAAACCAATTCAATATATCATTTAATGTATACATTTTAAAATGAAATAAAATAAAATTTACTTTCTAATATAAGGTCTAATTTCATTTATTGCATCTGTAAATAAACCACATATATGATTGCGCGACTTGAATCCCGTTCCAAATAATACACCATTATGTGTTAACGTTAATTTTTTTCCATGAATTATATATTTTAAAGATATAAATAACTCAGGGGTATAGTCACATTGTTTTGGTCTTTCAATACATAGCTTATTTATATCCATTTTTTCATTAAATTTATACGATGCACAATAATTAGTTATAGTGTATTTAATTACTTTAGCCTCATATGGACCAATAAAACGCAAAACATATACAAGGTCATTGGCAGCCATTAAAAGATCTAATTCATTTTTACCACCAGTTAGAACTATTATTCCAGTTTTATGTATCATAAAAGTTATTTTAGTTTCTTTATATTTAGCAGTCAAACCACTAAATCTTTGAGGATTATATTTCTTATTCCTTAAGATTAAAT